ATAAATTAGTTTGTGCTTTTTATTACATGTGACAATATAAAAAGAATGACATCATTCCTATCAGAATAATATAAGTGAATATGTAAACAGCATCATGTTTCAAACTGAGAGTTTAGGAATAGATAGCAATTTTATTAAGAAAAAATAATATTATATATATAAGATAAAAACATTTTTGAAAGGGCAATTTTTGTGCCACAACATGTTTATTTTTATATTATTTTTCTGCCCTCAGTTTTTTATTGTGAAGTTGGATAAGGAAACGTTTTAAGTTGCCAAGGTGTTTTATTTTTCTAATTCTGGTCTAATCGTATGGTTCATTGAAATAGCAGGAGTTCAGAAACAGGATTATCTTTCAATTAGACACCTGAAGCAACCGAAGTACAGAGTTTACTTAATGAAAGAATATACTAGAACTAAGTGCTTTTTTATTTTTATGCAAACATTATTCTTTCTAAAATAAAACTATTATCCCCATATACAGAAACATACTTTCTGTTTCCTTCCAATTATTTTTAAAAATATAATTGTGAACAATATAATAATTTGTTTTACCTCCTTCCTTAGATAAATTTTATTTAGTATGGTATGAAAAATTAAGCTTGACAACAAAGTTGGGCACAGTCTGCAAGACCACCCTCATTTCTGACTCAAACTGCAAGTTCATAGGGGTTGCCAAAACTACCCTCTGTTTTGGTATTTCACTAGAAGGGACTCACACAACTCTGAAAGCTATTATACTCATGGTTACGAGTTTTTTTTTTCTACAGGAAAGGATACAGATTTAAATCAGCCAAAGGTAGAAGTAGAGAGGGCAGAGTCCAGGAGAACTACCAAACACAAGCTTCCATTGTCTTCTTCCCATGAAGTCGAAACTCTGACAGTTTTGATGTGTGGCAATATGCAGAGTATTGCCAGCCAGAGAAGTTTTCCTGAGCCTTGCTGTCCAGAGTTTTTATTGGGTCTTTACCATGTAGGCATGATGGATTAATTGCCCGCATGGTTAATCTCAGTCTCTAGGTTCCCTGATACCATGTGACCCAAAGCCCCTTCTCTAAGACTCTACAGGCTTAGCTAACTCTTACTCTACTCACACTGTTAGAATAGCCAATATGACCCAAGACCACAAAGCAAAGAAAGACATTAGCAATTACTTTCCAGAAGCTGAGGACAGGGGCCAGATCTCTCTTTGGGCAAAGGAAAATTTTTTACTAAACATATAGGTTTAAAAAAATTACAGGTTTCAGTTTCTTTACATGTTAACTACATTCTTTTCTCTATAAATTTGCAATTTTTTCCCCTAAAACTTTATTTTCTCATGGAATTAGTGTACAAATAATTGGAAATATATTATTCATGAATAGTTGATCTCATGAATATGTATAACAATAGTTGTTCTCGATTCAGCTGTTTAATCTTGTAACATTATTATCTTACCTGAAAAAGACATGTGAAATTACTAAAAGAATGTTTTTAATAAAAACATTTTAGATCATCTTAGATAATAGGTATTTATTAATTGTTTTATTCAACAATTATGTTGAATTCCTCTTGTATGTCACATATTACGTTGAGTACTTTGTAAGTAAAAATAAGTAAGACCTAGTTTCGTCCTCAAGGAATTACAGTCTACAGGAAGAAATGAACACCTATATAATTACAGGAGAGAGGGACAGTACAGTGAAAATGTGCAAAGGTCAACATCTAACCTGGACTTTGGATTCGTGAGGAGGACTAGGCATTTAAAATGTGAGTTGAAATTAGCCAAGTGGTGCAAGTGGGAGGTGGAGCAATCCCATCAATGCAAGTGACCTGTACAAAGTTTTGTAGGTGTGAACACATGGCAAAGTGTAAGTTGTTCACAGTGACTGGGTAACAGGGAGTGAGTATACTCACTCATCATCTGAGGGGTCCTCTGAGGAGGTAGCGAAAGTGTGTACTTCATCTTGACACTAGGAGAAGCTTCATTATATGTTTAGGAAAGGCTGTCTTTGTCATGAGCTATTGGTACTTGCTAACCTAATTTTTATTGTAGCTGAAAAGAAGTGAATATGTATTACCTTCAGAGCAGATACCAAAATTCTTGATAAGCAATTGACTAATTCATTCGAACAATGTATACATAGTTTGATTATGTTCCTGGCACTGTGCTAGTCCTGGTGATGCAGCACATACAGATGTATACATACACAACAAAGGGATATAGTACTCAACAAAGCAGTCATGTTTCCTCCTTACATAAAACTTACTGTCAGCCTAGGAGACCAACTTTGATCACCTAATTGCACAAATATTTAATTGCAATTGAGGTATGTAATATGAAATAAGGCACAAGATGCTGTGATAAAATATAACAAGGGAAGCTGTCTAGTCCAGAGAAAATGGAAAGGCTTGCTTGAGCAAATGATTTGAACTGGTATTGGGGGCAGGGTGTTATTTAGGTGAAAGTGATGAGGGGTGGGATATGAGGGAATCACAATTCCAAAAGAGGAAACACCGTGGAGAACCAGAGATGGGAGAGAACAAGATGTATTTGTAGTCCTAAAAAGAGAATGATCTTCCTGGAGAGCAGAGTGTTAAGTGAGGTGGCAGCACTGAGTGAGTTATATGGGACAGAGCCTAGAAAATAGAGCAAAGTTGGCCATTATAATGCTTATAGCTTTTATCCCAGGAAGGGAAAGTTTTAAAGGTTTCAGTTTATTTGCTTTTGTAGATAGAGGTCTGTTGAGCATATTTACATGTTTAAAAGGTAGTCTAGGTAATAAGTGGAGAAAAGAGTAAAGCAGGACAGGGTGGAGGTAGCGACCAAATAGGCAGTAGCGGTTCTAGTGGTGCAGGTGTAGTTTGGACATGAGGCAGTAGTGATGGAAATGAATGGATGCATCCAGGAATTTATGATGGAATTATAAAGTTAAAGATGGGGAGGGGTTGATACTGTCCTGGAAGTTTCTGGAAAGTCACAAATGACTAGAAAAATTGAGTAGTTTGGGAAGGAAGGTCTAATGCTATTAGGAAGTCAAATAAGTTGAGTCAAAGAGTTGGGGTCCAGATTAGAACTGACTGAGGAGTAAGAAGTGAAAAAATGGAAAAACTAAAAACAGCAAGTAAGGTTTTCAGGAATAGATATTGTCAGAATCCAAGAAACCATCAACAAATTAGACAGCTTAATGTGAGGAAAGAAGAACTTTTTTTCTTATGTCCAAGGGAAAGAAGAGAAGAGAAGAGATCAGTAAGAGGTGGGAGCAGCAGTGGGTGACAGCAAGATGGCAGGGCTCTGGGAGAGACGGAGCCCATCAAGAAATCCCTAGTGAAAATATGGCCAAAGGGACATGTAGAACAGATGTAATGGATGACATTTATTTTTTATGTGCATTTCCCTACCTTGTAGCTTCCAACCAGTTCTAGCACCTTCAGGTCTTGAGTAAACCCACTTTACTTAGGAACAGTTTGTGTTATTTGAATTTATGACAAAATAAAGGGTTGAATTTCTAGTCTGGAGGTTTTTGGTTTGACAAAAACATAATAGACCAAGAGGACAGAAGGGAAAAAAACTCCTCTACCAAGAAATTTGCAAAAATGTTGGGAACTATTTCAACTTTTAGCCAATCTAGGCCTCAAGGGACAGGAAGACCTCAACTGACATCAAATTGTATAACTCCTAGCTATGCATTTACTAAGGTTGGCTAATATCAAGGAGCAATATGTGTGGCCACCGACCAGTTCTTCATATTAGTATTCTGTTTCATGAACTAAACCAATCGGTTCAGAATATATCTTTTATCCTTAGCTTATTAATCAAGCAAGGATTTCAAAATCAAATACTTTCTGAAACCAGCAGGGAATGTCACATGTGAAGGGGCTACTGGTGAAAACTATGGTGAAGCAGAATAATTCCCTTCACACACAGTCATTAAAAGTTCATGTTTAAAAGTTTGAAGGCCCAACATATCACACAATCAATACTTTTATCTATTATGTAAAGTATTAACCTAACCCATGAATCGCCTTTAAATGTATTTAGATTTATCTATGATTGGAATAGTAACTAAATATTTTGGGTTCACAGGAAGACCAAATGTCCATTTAAAAATTGAGTGTTCCAAACTTTTCTTCTAGAAAAATATTTTAGATATAATGAGCATGGACTTTGACATGCTCCCATTGCCTTACAAGCTGAATACCTCAGTTAAATTACTTGGCTACTCAAAGTCTCACTTTATCATTAATAAAATGAGCATAAGAAGACCCATCTCATAGGGCTGTTAACAGAAGAGGATTGAATGAGATAATATATGTACTTGCACAGCCCAGGACCTGGTGCAGAGAAGTCGTTCAACAAATACTAGCTATTTTGGGGAATTGCATTGAGATGATGCCTTATCACCACAAGCAAAATCTTTTCAAGACTTTTTCAAAATTTAGGTATTGAGCACTCTTCTAAGCACTGGGAATAGAGCATTGAACAAAACAAAGATCTTAATTTTCACAGAGCTTATATTTTGGTGACAAAGTACATGTTAGTAGAATTGCCCATTTTGACATTTTCTGCAAACTTTTAGCACCTATATAAAATGAACTATGGCACATCTTGAAATTAGTAAATTTTGTCAGTTTTGTGAAACCAAATTAATAACTTCTTCCCAGCTATGCAACATTAGACAACATTTTTCTTTAAAAGGTATCAATGAAATAGTTTCATCTCTTGATTTTTTCTCAGTATAGCCCTCTGATAATAAAAATAAGAAAATGTTAAAAATATCAAAGCTAATAGGGAGCTTAAGCATTTAATTGAGTCACGTTGTTTTTCAGTTGAGAAAACTGGAGCCCAGAATATGTGTAACTAGAGCAAAGACATACAGTCAGCCTGTCTAAAACAGATGCCGTTTAATGGTGCTCATTTTGTTAAAGGAATAAATATACCTCTTGTATCTTAAATGCCATATAATTGGTAAAAAAAAAAAAAAAGTACTGATTTGAATGATTGCTGTTTTTGTCAACAGCTGGATTCCAATGGTGAACTGCTCATCCGAAATGCCCAGCTGAAACATGCTGGAAGATACACGTGCACTGCTCAGACAATTGTGGACAATTCCTCAGCTTCGGCTGACCTTGTTGTACGAGGTAAGAGTTTCAACATTTTAAAATTACAAAACCAAAGGTATTTGACTTGCATAAATATGTATAATTTTCTACTAACTCTGGTTTGAATTCTTATATATTTATAGTCTCAATACCATTCCTAAGAATGGATCTTATGTTTTTTATCCATGCCTAAAATGATTTATGCCAGACAAGTTGTAAACAACACTGATTTTATTTGTTTTCCTAACTACATGTCTTCTAGAAAGTTATACCACATACCTCCTGCTAAACACTTGTGCTTTTAAACTTAGTGCTCACCAAATATCCTCATTTCCTACTAATACTTTTTTAGTGTGTTGAGCATAGTGCTGTTTCCTTTCTTCTTTCTTATGTAAAAAAAAAGATGGCATTTACTATAACCTCAGTGTTATATATTTATCACTGTCATCTTAGAATAAAAATTTAACTTACACATGTATCATATTTCTATTTGTTGCTGGTTTTCAAACTAGTGCCTCTTTTCTTATAAATAATATAGTTGAGAATGCGATGGGATACACGTTCATTGGAAATGCAACCCCTTTGCTACTGGCCTCTGCTGTAGTGCGGAGGTTGGCTTGGAACATGCCACACCTTGTTTAAAAATCATTAATTGGCTCTTGACCTATAGAATGAAGACCATTCTCTTTAGCTTAGCATCCAAGAAGCTCCATGCATTGATCTCAGTCTGTTTACCTTTAATGTCTCATCGTTCACTGTAACCAACTCCAACCATCCAACTAATCCACAAAAATACCCTAGTATTACCTGTATCTGTTCCTACATTCACAGTATTCCTTCCATGTCCTTTTCTCATCGTTTGTTGCCCAAATCTTAGCCATCCTTCAAAGCTTGGCTCAAGTATTACTAAACTCATAAATCTTACTCTGATGTCCCAAATACGAGCTCCTTTCTTCTGAACTTTCAAAACATTTACTACTTTTTCTAATGTTTTATAACAATCTGTGCATGTATTATCCACTCTAAGTTGTAAAATTTATATATGCATTTTTATTAATCTTTAGTGAGTTGCAGCCTTCCTTTGCACAGTTTCATAACTCTTTTTCTCTCTGTCTCAGTGTCATGCTAAAATTTCTATTCTTTCACATTTTACCTACTATAAATATTTGTAGATGATCCTTTAATTGCACATTTTGTCATCATTTTTTGTACTATCAGACAAATAATTAGTAAATAAAATGATATATGTGGTTTGTTTGTCTTAATGTCCCTTCTAGATCCAGATCAATATAATTTCACTAAATCTTATATACCTCCTGCATTTCCTTCTTAGAGCAATATTAATATGGCATCCCTAAGCAACTCTGGGAAAATACTGAAAAGATTTTTATTCCAGTTAAAAGTGTTCTCCAATAGGGTAATAAGAAGTTTAGCTGAAGTTTCTTTATCCAAATAAACTTAGATATTCTTTCCATGGGTCACTTATTGAAAATTAATAAATAAAATCCCTGATGCTGCAAAATCCTAAGTCAAAGAAAGTTCATTTAGGTTCAGTATTTTTATTTAGAGTATTTTGTTACCTGAAACATCTGTTTTCAAGAGTTATCAGGGACAGGGACTAGTTCATTGTTCTTTCTACTCAGAGCACTACCTGTTAAGCCAGTTTCAGCTATAGCTTAAATATAGATTTAATTAGAATAGTTTGCATATTAAAATAATTAACGTTAATATTACAATAGGGGTTATGTTACAGTGCATGGAGATTAGTGTGTTCATATGATTACACTGTAGTAATACTCTAGAATACCTAGCAGTATTCAGAGGGAAGACAGATGTAATGATCTTTTTTTTTTACAGATGTAATACAGAAGTAGTAGTGATATTACCCACACATACTTAGATAATTAATAAGAGGTAAAGGCAATAAAAATAAACTATGGTGAGTATTATGCAGAAACATAAAGTTTATTTTTCTAAAGTCTTTTAATCTTAGGAAAAAATGCTTTAAAGTAATGGAAACTGGCAAGTACACTCAGTAAAAATATGATATAGCATTTTATGTCCCTTCACTGTAGCAGGATATTAATAAAATTATAGAGGTAAATGAAAAGTATTGCTTACCTCTGCTAAAGTCTGCAGAGCTATAATCAAAAACCAAAATTTATTTCTAATAATAGAAAAGATATTCATTTTATGTCAAGGGAATTTGCAGTTAAAACAATCAAATATATCTCTGCAGAGCTTGTGTCAGAAACATATATAAAGTAGACTTTCTAATATGCTTTATATGTAACATTAAACAGTTTTATTTCTTATAATAATGCTGAGTAATATATAAGACATACCCTGGCTTAAGGAATAATTTTATTAGTCCATTTATCCATTGAATTATACTTTAGCATCCAGTTCAGGAAACTATAACCTAGAGTCTATGGACAGGCTTCAAGGGGTCCCTGGACCTCCTAAAATTATATGTAAAATTCCATGTGCATGTGCATTTTCCTGGGAAGAAGATTTAAATTTTTCTTCAGATTTCCTCAGCCAGAAATTGCCTAAAAAGCATTAAAAAGCTTAATCTATTTTTTTCACCATCTAGGTCAAGACTCTCTAAAAAGGGAAACAAAGGAATGACTATATACTTCATCTAAAAGTATTTAGAAAACTAATAAATTCATGGAATGAGATCTAATAGCACATTTATATTGTAAACTGCCACCAGAAGATTCAATTTGCACTCAACCCTTCAAGAATATATCTGTTTTTCAAAACATATTAAATATGTTATATAGTAGACATCAGATATGTATAAGAACTTCCAGATTTGAGCTGTACTTATTCTAATTCACATTCAGATGTCAGTAATCTGAACTGCCCATGCTGAAATTAGTGCTATGAGAGGGACAGTGAACGGAATTCAAGGGAAGAAATTTCCTCTGAGGATCACTAAAATTTTTTTGATAACAAAACTAGTTTAGTGCATAAACTGTTTTGCCCTATCAGGAGACTGAAACAAAAGTTAAATATTCAGACATAATTAAGACTGTGAATTTCTTTTAGCCTATGTTACCTTGAAGGAAATGAACACATAGTAAAAAATGTTGCTGTCTTCCACAGCTGTGTGTGTGTGTGTGTGTGTGTGTGTGTGTGTGTGTGTGTGTGGTGTGCATTTATAATTGTGAATGGGTGAGTGTGGGTATATTGGTAAAGCCTGATGAAAGTAGTTTGTATGAGCGAAAAAAAATGTGTCTTAAGTTTATGCCTTTCATTATTATCTTAATTGAGTTCAGAACGGAGGCAGTCAATTAGTTAAATGAGTGCCTCTAAATATTAAACTGAAATTAAATATGAGAAAAACGTAGTCAAAGGAAAACATTGGATCTGATTTCATGGAGCTTTTTACCCAGAGAAAACACACTCGCCTTTTACCTGTGTCATGTATGGAATGATTGAGAAATAAAGAAAACAATAACAATTGTAGTCAACTGAAAATGGTCCCAATAATTAGATATGAGTCACTGTCTCTCTTTAACAGTCATAAATGTACACTTACAGAAGCTATAGCCCTTCAGCATATTTACTCATTGCACACATTCTCTGATCATCCAACTCTGCAAACAACTTCAAATCGTGGGATCATATTGACAGTGTAATTTCCACCTTTCTCTTCCAAAGCTGCATTTTATATCAGTTCTATCTGTTTACTATACAGATATTTCTGCTAGTCTTTCTACTGTATAGAAATTCTTCTATAGTAATATATTCTTCTATATAATTCTTCTATACTATAGTATAGTAATTTCTTCAAACAATATCATCCTAGAAGTCCAGTATATAAAATTCAAGATGCAGATAAATAAATAAATATTCTTCCTCAAAGCCCTGGTTAATGCAAAAGATTACTCTCTCTGAGATAGGATACCTGCAATCCAGTCCTCTCAGGATTTCAACAAATATAGATAAATCGAACACAAAATTATGCAAGAAATGACAATTCACATAAGGAAACAAGCCATAAAAAGAGAGAATCACGAGGGAAAAAAGCAAAACAATTTAATTCAAGTCCAGAATACTTCAGAGACTGTAATCATTCCAATAAGAATAAACGTAACCATGCCAAAATCCTTAAAGAAAGAAGAGAGGAAATGGTAAAAATGAGTTGAGAACAATGTACTAAAAAAATGAGGCAGTTTTGGAAGAAAACAAGGGAGTATCTATAAATGATAAGCATAATCACTGAAAATAAAAACTTAATAGGTGGATTATAAAACACATTAGAGACAGATTAGGAAAGAATTAGGAAACTGAAAGATAGAAATGAGAAAATCACCATATTTCAGTGCAGAGAATCAAGGGCCAATTATGTAAAAGAGATTAAGATATTGAGGATACAATGAGAAATTAATATTTGTCAAATTAGATTACCAGAAAAAAATATTAAAGAAAGTAGGAGAGAAACAATGTTCAAAAAGATAATGATTAGAAATATGGGAGAATTAGTGAAAAATGTGATTCCTGATATTCAAAAATCATAATGAAACACAAAAAATCAGTAAAAATAAATAATAAAACTACAGAACATTGAAGACATATAGAATGTTATAAGAGCAACAAGAATGAAAGGAATTTTTTTACAAAGATGTAGCAATACACTGACAGCAGGCAACTCAGCAGCTGCAATAAAAGTCAGAAGATAGTTGGGCAGCCAGCCTATAAGATGGCCTTCAACAGTCCTGGCTTCCTGGTACACCAACGCTTGTGTGATTCCTCTCACACTTAAGTCTAGGGGCCTGTAGAAGTGACGGTGTGTGATTTCTCAGTCTAAGTCTTAAAACACATTGCTGCTTCTGCCTTGGTTTTTGGATCACTCAGTCTGTGGGAAGTCATCTGCAATGTCATGAGGATGTTCCAGCAGTCTTTTGGAGAAGGCTGCATGAGGAGGAAATGAGGTCTTCTACCAACGACTAGCACCAATTTCCTACCAACAACTAGCACCATTTGTTTGAGCCACCTAGGGAACAGATCCTCAAGCCCTAATCAGA